CTCTGTTTTCCCATTCATCTATTTTAAAAATTGCTTTAAATGTTTGCACCTTGCCATAATTCTGCCTCCTTTTTCTCACTCATGGCAATTTCTTTACCATAACCAAATTTATGTAAAGCCAATATACATTTTCTTTGCCATTCTGTAAGCCATGCAGTCTACCTGATCATTGCTACTTCTTCTAGAAACCAACTGTTGTACTCTAAAAACTCCCTAAAATGACTACCTCCGTGTTCCTTAAAGGCATTCCTTTGGGGTTGTTCCCAGAAGTCAGAGAGGTATGAGTTAAATTCTTTAAGCAGCTAAAAGAGACTAGTGCTTTTTAAATGTAACTACTCAGACAACCATCCCAATTTCACACAGAAAGAAACGACTACTTCTTCACATGCAGCTGGCAGTGATGCCAGGCCTTTGCATCCTAATTCTATGGCAAACACACCTTGTGCTGGCCCTGGAGCATGCATGAACCCTAAAACCTGCGGAAGTTTGAAATATACATTGACTTACAGTGTTTCTCATCAGTCTGAGTAGGGTTTGCAATTAATGGTCTGTGTGGCTTGAGGCCTCAAACTGAATGAACTTGAGAGCGTCAGTGGTGCCACTGCTAACAAGCTGAGAAGCCATTATTCTTCTGCAGTGTGATGCTTATATGCAAGCACCATATATTTTGTGACTTTGTGGTCTTCCTTTCCCATACCCATGTAGTCATTTCAGAGACAGACTATCTAATCTGGGAGCCTGTTACTCTAAATACTGTGTCTACACTAGCATATTATTTCACAAGAAAAATACATTTCTGAGGTGAATCTCCTGATTGTCTCCCACCGCATTTTGGTTTTTCACAGGGAGCACTCTAGGAGTGCATGACTGGATTTCTTTAGGATAAAGCCAAACCAGAATGAGCACTCCACGAGTACAGCTAATATACTCAAGCTGCTGATGGACGTTCAGTTCAAAGGATTGCACTGGACCCAGTTTGAAAGATAACACCTCCCAGGTGGATATTGTGTGATTGCCAGGCTTTCAGCACCATTTCACTCTACTGATTGTTTCTACCAAGTTACACTGTTTGGTAGTATAGATTTAGCTAGTATAGATAGTATAGATGAAATTACCAAAATGCAATAATTACAGTAATATTGAGAATAGATTAGTCTTTCTGTAACATGTGAACATATGATTTTTTGGTGGGGGAGGGAGAAGGGGAGACTATAATCCATGAATTCAGAAGGGAATAGAAAAGCAATGAAGGCTGAAGGTTTTAGGCTCCTGCATCTTCTTTTCTACATCATCTTGTTATGTTGACCACAAAACCACAGGAGGACTGTGTGCCAAGCACAGAGTCTGTAGTATCATTCATAAAAATCCTATGGGATAAGGGTTAAACAGAATTGTAATGAGTTAAGCAGAATTTACCAAAATCTCTTCTGAATTAATCATCCTTGGCAAGGTCTATAAATTAGTCAGATATAAATAGATCCAAAACACCTTAATTTTCTGTAACTGCAGCTCTTTCTAGACTTTCCTGCAGAAGACATCTGTGAAAATCTTGGAAAAAATAAATTTTATTACACTGTAACAACGTATTTACTGTGCTAGAAGCCTGAATCAGTTTTAAGATTCCTCCCTTCTAAAAAGGTCTTTCTGAACAGAATTCCCAGAGAAGCATTTTAAACCCCTGAACCCCTGTAATCAAATGGATGTCTTTGCTCGAACCTCTACCGAGAAAAGAACAGTGACAGTCCTCCGCTGACCCCACTTCTTCCCTGAATGTGTGCTACTCTGTACCTTGAAAATCCCCTGAACTGGGGGACCATTCAGGCAAGATGAAGCATTTCCCAGAGTTAGATTTCCACAGACTTTTCCCTCAAGATATTACACAAATGCCAGCTGCTGCAGAAGGGAAATAATAACCTCTATTTCCCTGAAGTGGGCAAGATACTGTTATCAACTTAAGCCATAAATCCTGATTTGGAGGATTTCCAACTGAATGTCAGAGTTTTAAATGGAATCCCTCACAAAAATCTTCCCAGCTTATAACTGATAAGTAATAGAAGCCCTGTAGACTGTCTCTTCATAACTTAATAGTGCTACATTTCTCCCAGAGACCATTTGAAAATTAACCTATAAACTTCCTAAGCCAAAATCTAGTTGGCCAGGGCGCTGGGGAACATGAGTTTCTTTGCCTTCTCTTCAGTTCTTTGTCTGACTCTGGCTTGAGTCTTTCTGGTTTGTTTATACTCTTCAAGTAAAGTTACCCACAGATACGTCCCTCTAAGTCTTATCTTTGATCCTGTTTAATAAATGTATTCTTGTAAGAGCAGCAGGGCACACACAGGGCATTCTCACTTCTTAACCTAAAAACAGAGAAAAATATTCTCTCTAGAAATGCCCCAGTGGTCTTATAATCAATTGTCCATCTGGTCAAAGTCTGGCCAAGTCAGATTACAAATAGTTGTGTATGCTCCTAAGAGATGCCTGGAAGAAAAAATTATCCCAAATCTGAAACAAATGGTGGTAGGAGAGCAGTATGACTTATCAAGCTGCTGCAAAGAAACTGATCCACTGTCCTTTACTGAGTTTTTTTTCAAATAAATACCATTTCAAGCAATCACCTTCTGACTGGGCAGCTTAGCAGTTCACTGTCATGGCAGCTTGAACCACTCTGAAATGAATAACAACTCTCTAGATGTGGAGATTAACTATTAGAAAATTATTCTTACATTATCTGTATGAAATACTCAAGACCTAACTTTTTTTCAACTCTCTTGAATTTAAAATGCAGTAGACATAACAGGCTCTAGATTTATTTCCTGTGATGTTTTGCTGCCAAGCCTTTTTCTCCATAATCATATTACTTAAAGTATTTATGAAGGATGGGGTTGTTGCTCTTTTATGCAAAGTGTCAGACTGATGACAGCTCTCCAATTATTTTTCATCACGAAAATTTAAAATAAAGAAATAGGATTAATTGGAAGAATTAAGCATATAAGGGCACTTAAATGGCAAGAGAATATACCATATGCATACAGAAAAGTGAAACTGGCTGATCTATTTCTTCATTTTTGTTACAATTATCTTTTTTAAAGAAAATTAGAAAGAAGTTTGTTTCACTGTTCTGTAAAAAATTCTACACATCCACATCCTTAATGACATATTTCAGTCATAATATACTCAGCAATAAATAGGGCTGTCGTGTCCCATGTATAATGCAACCCAAACACTGGAGTAAAACTAATGTCATTAACATTTGCTATACATAAGCAAATAAGCTGTTCTTCATTTTGCCTCCTGAACTTCATGAGATACTTCTGGACAGAGCTATCTACTGTCCTCTATTTATTAAAAAAAAAAAAAAATGTAAACATGCTAATTCTATATCATTGCATGAGTCCTTGTTCTTTAAAAGCAACAAGCACTGTGTTGACCATTGTTGTCCTGGCTACAGGTACATCTACATTAAAAACTATAAGAAATTTGTATCTTCTAAAAGATACACTCAACATAAACATGTTCTCTGCAGCTGGCACTGAAATACTTTTATACAGGAAATTATTCAAAGCTCAGGTCCCAGAATCTGTAACATATAGTGCTTGTCCATTGAAGAAATAATGGCAGCCAAGCTGTGATTGTTCCAAAAGTTCTATCATAATTCTTTACAAATTGATATTCAAAAATTACAACCTTCTTGTCTGCAGATACAGTTCCCAAAAAACCGCCTGAGCCCTCAGTACCTGAAAAATCAACTGAACCAGCTAAGACGACTCAACAGGAACAGGGTCAGCTCAGTGATGGGAAAGAAGATGCCAAGTGAGTAAATTCATTTACAAACCATGAGGTTTTTTCCTGACATATGAGAGTAATTTTGCATTTTTGTGTATCATGCTTCAGTTCTTTAAAAGTCCCTCCAGTACCACTGTATCTGGCATACTGTAAGAACCTGAAGAGAATAGATTTAGAACATAAATTCAATTCTAAAGGCCACTGCACATATGAGGCATACCATTTAGTAAGTGGTTTTGATAGATTTTTCCATACCTCATCCTAAACTGCAAAAATGAGGATAGTGATTTGGTCTGTCTACAGTGAAATACCCACATATGGTAATTTTAAAACTGTTAGTGCTCGGTTATTATTATTCTACTATGTAAGTCCTAGGATGCTGCCCTGAGTAGCTGGAATGTTTGTTATATCATCTTCACGTAAGAGGTTTTTACCTTGTATATATTTTTTGTTCAGTTATACCACTAAAGAGGCGTTAGTATCTGAAACTAGAGGATCAAGACTGCCTCCTCAAGAAGAAACAAACAAATTAAGCTATAAAGATGGGTACAATCTAGGATCACTCAAATGCTGGAAAAAGCTTGGGTTCTATTCATTTTACTAAAAAAAGAAAATAGATATGGAATTCAGAAAAAAAAGTCCTGGAGTAATCTATGCTCAGCTTATTACAGAACCACAGATTCATAGAACATTTCAGGTTGGAAGGCACCTCCAGAAGGCACCTGGTCCAACCTCCTGCTAAAAGAAGGGCCAGCTTAGATCAGATTTGCAAGTTAGATCAGGTTGCTCACAGCCTTGTCTAGTCCAGTAGTGAATACCTGTCTCCAAGGATAGAGATTCTATCCACAAACTCTCTGGGCAACCTGGTCCAACATTTGACCACTCCCATTATGAAAATTATTACCTTGTATCTAATCAAACCTTCTCTTACTTTAACTTGCTTCTGTTGCTTCTTTTCCTTCTGCTGTGGCACCAAGAACAGTATGAGTACATATTCTGTATAACTGCCTGTCAGATGGAGGAAGACTGAAATTATCTCCATCTTCTCATTTCCTTTCTTTCACCAAGGTAGAGTTTGTAGTACAATGACTAGGAATAATTGAGCAAAATACTAGTGCACACACCTCTAGAAGTGCTACATGTGGTAAAAATAACACCCACTCAAATGACTGGAAATGTTATAAATAATTTCGTTAAGTTGGATGTGAATCAGTAGATCAACAATGAAAACCCAGCTAAAGCATTGTCTTTCTGCCATTTCTGGATATGTTATTGTAGGCTTATGGCTCCAGTGCTGAACTCTGTTACCACGGTAAATGTAATTGCAATATGCTTATGAAAGAAAAGGGTTATGTTGCTTATTAGTAGAAGATAAATATCTGTCTGCTAAAAGACAAGTTAATCTGTTTAGGTTAAACCTTCTGTTCTAATAGCTGTTCTGACTCACTGTCATGCATGCATCCAGTTAGGTATATCTGCTCAGTCTTCAGTTTGAGCAACAGCCTCTAAAACACAGTAAAACCTTGGTAAATTCTACTGTGAAAACAGTTACCTATCAAATTCTGCAGTAGAATCTAGAAGGCATGACACTGGTGTCATTGCACTGGGATGAAACTAAACTGAATCGATCTGTTATAAACCTTTGAGAGATGTAGGGAGAATCATTATTGGATTTTCTTTCCCTGCAAGACAGGCGACCTCACAAAAAAAAAAAATCTTTGTTCAATGCTATTTTCTTGGAATTCCCATATCTGAGAAATGTTTGGGAAAGTGTTAGTTTGACTAGACAAAACCACATCAAGGACTACTCTTACAACTGAATAGCATACTCAGTTGAGAGTTCCAGTGCCCAAGAATTTTCTCTGGCTGTTTAATCTACTCTTACGTACAGAACCATAATTTGGTTGATTGAATGAAATGAAGACTGTTGAAATGGTTGGTGGAATTTTATTAACTCCTATTGGAATTTCATATTTTGACCAACTATGCATCAGGGAGCAGTGAGGACCAGCTGCTTCGTAAGTGAAGGAGAGCTGGGAGCCAAGGGTGACCCCAGCACAAGCAGTGCCTCTACCAACAAGGTGTAGTCCCATAGGGTCTGAATATGGCAAGCAGAGCCGGGTCCTGGTAACGGGGTCCATCAACAGGGCAAAGTGATGAAGCAGGTCCAGGGTCCATCCAGGGAGTCCAGTCGGGAGCAAAAGGAGAGAGGGACAGAGACAGGACTGAGGAAGGCTGTAGCCTTGCATGGGTCCTAAGTCGATCCAGGGGCAGGACCAAAGATAGGACTGAAGACAAGTTACAACATACAAGTAGGTAGCCTGTTCAGGAGACAAGCTACCTACAGGACAGGTCCTAGGACCATCCAGAAGACAGAACAGTCTGTTCACAGTCGACAAGACTGCAGACAGGCACACCTACAGCATTGCTCAGGCAAGGACTGAAGGCCAAGGCCTAGGCCTAAACAGAGCCCTCAGATCCATGGGTAGAGGGTATGGGGTGCCGGTCCTAGGTGAGGCTGGTCAGTGCTATTAAGGGCTGTTGGTGTACTCAAGGCTCTGATACTGTTTTGGCTTACATAAATTATTTTCTTATATTAATCATTCTCCAAGAGTCAAAGTTTGCTTGATCTTCTGCATAAAAGGAAATCATCAGTATGCACTTTGGAACAATGCCAATAGATTATGAATAAGATCTATAGTAAGATAAGGCTTGTGGGTGCATATACATATCTGCACATATTCACAACCCATATGTAGCCAGAACAGCTCAGCTTTCATGGAAATTATGCTAATTGGAAAGATTTGAATTTATCCTAAGTAACTGTAACCTATTAGTTTTAAATTCATCTGCACAGGCTTAGATATATGGAAGAGAAAAGAAGGCAGGCAACGAGGACTTTAGTCCTCGTCACTACATATGTTAAAGGGTGCAGCATTTGTTCCAGCACAGTTGATTTGTTTGAAATTGCACACCTTCCATTTAGATCAGGTCTCTCCATACATAATTTCAGGGAGTGGCAACGAACTTCAGCATAAGGACTTTAAATTTTGAAGTCTTAGGTCAAGGCTTGCAACTATGCAATACTGGAGTATGTGCAATTATACTAATGTAATTAACTTACTGAAATCAATTGGATTACTTATATGTATGACAGTTCATGAGACTGTGTGCCAATGGTAGCCGCCTTCCAATTTATCTGCATTAGGCTAGTTTTTTACTTATGGTGCAATATCGCCTATATTATCTATTAACAGGAAAATAGTGTTGTGAATCTCCTCTGAAGGAACAAACCAATTTATTCTGTTGCTAAGCGAATGACTTAGCCTTTACTGAGACTGCATTTATTCCTGAAAATTCCCACAGAAACTGTTTATCCACAAGAAAAAAAATGTTTTGGCTTTCCCTCTCAGCACTTTCTCATTTTTCAAATATAAAAATGCATTGTGATGGACATTAATAAAGAGCAGAGACATAACTCTGGTTTGCCTACATCCGTCTGAACACTATATCCAGAAGAGGAGACACACTTGAGTGGCTGATGTGCCAAGGCACTGAATTATGACAGAATGACTGAAACTTTTAATGTCTCTTTCCTAATGGCTTAGACAAGATTCCACGCAGGTCTGCCTTGTCTGTTAATATATTGTTTCTCTCCTTCGTCTTTAATGATAATATAACAGAGTAATAGGTTATTTCCATGAATAGCTATTTGCTGAGCAATAATCATCTCTGTTTGGGAGGGAGGGCTAAGTACAAGCAGTCTCTTCACAGCAAGAAATAAGGGAAGAGAAGAACATTGAGAACTTAATTTGCACTCTAATAGAAGGCAGAGGAGTCTTATTAACATGGAGCTAGCATAAAACATTAATTGCAGCCTTTATAATATATAAAGATTACTTTATGTTGGGGAGGCTTTATAAAAACATATACACACATACACACTCCAATAAATTTTTGAAAAGCAGGATAAAAATTACATGTGAGATATTCTGCAGAATTTTCGCAAACGCTGCATATTGTCAGGGAGCAGCAAGGGCCAGGGGTCGGCCCTTGCTGAGGCCTCCCTGCAGCAGGCCTGCGAGCCTCTCCCCACCCTCACCAAGGGACAGGGACAGCCCTCGGCAGAGCCCCAGCAGCCAAACCTCCAGGAGAGGGTTATACTTTCAGGGCCCTTACTCATACAACCTTTGCTGATTTTCATATTTTTTTACTTAAAAGATGCATTTTTTTCTTAAGGTTTTAATCCAGAGGAGGACTTCTTTCTTTTAGTATGCATGACTTAAGACTTAAATGCAGTTTACAAAAGGCACAGTCATGGATGCAACTGGTGAACAGTTTCTGGCAATCCAAGATCATCCTGATGACTAAAGCCTTTTCCCTGGCCATGCCTTCCCAGCCCCTGAACTGTGCTTGTGCAGCCATGCGGTCGGCTACATCAGTTTCCATCCAGCTGGAAAATAATCAGTTCTCGTATGGGCTAATACTGACAATGGGCATCCCAGAAGCACACAGGAAGGATGGCAAGCAGCTGCCTCATCCCGAGTGAGTAGGACTGACTGAAGTATTTCACAAAACTGAGATCCTGAGAGTAATAGGCTGTGATAAATAGGGCAGAATAGACAATCTAATGGTTTTTTCTGGTCTTAAATTATAAGAAAACAACATTAACAACAATGTTTTGAAAGAAGTATTGGCAATATTGAGCGCAGCCAACAGAGGCAGTGAACAGACGCAGCAGTTTGCGCAGCAGTGTCTGGGCTCTGCCTGGGCCTTTTGTGGGCCTTGTTGGAAGTTGTGGAGGCTCTCTGGGGACCCCCGAGGAACCAGACGGTGCTTGCTGCTAGCAGGAAGGGAGAGCTGGGCAAGGACTCCTGCAGGGGACCTTGACTGAACTTCTCCTGGGAAGTTCTAGCCAGGTGGGGCTGCTGCTAAGGAGCTCTCTGGGCTGCCCTGGTCAGAGGGAGGTGGGGCTTTTGTTTCAGGTGGCTCCTGATTGGGTGGGTCAAGCACCCTTGTGAGTCA